CACCTCCGAGGGCAGAGTCTGTCACAGCAGACCTGCAGGGACTGACTTCTGCAGTTAACGAGGTCCTCCTGTCTCCTCTCCTCCCTGCCGACCGCTCACCCAGTCTATTCCTGGCTGTGCGAAGACCAGGGACCTTCCCTCGAGGGAGCCGGATCTGGCACAGTCACATTTCTGCTGTCACCTCAGATTCTCAGAGTAAAAATGAACATCTGGACAGGCATTTGGGGAAAGACATTGTGAAGAGTGACATGCGGTTGAAAGGATAATGTAGAGGAAGTTCAACCATTCTCTTTTGGAAAACAGATGACAATTTATGGCCCAAGTGGGTGTCCCACAGCTTTTGCTCAGGCTTCTTCCAGTGGCACTCATTCTTGACGTCTGTCGCTCCTCTTATTTATTTCGGGGCCAAGAAGGTTCCTCTAAAAATGCAGGGTCCTGGGTGTTCACAGTCGTGATCCTCGGTGGCCTGAGCGAACAGGCGCCTGTGGAAGTTGAGGCAGCTCCCATGTCTGAGCTCGTGAGCATGTGTCTGTCAGCAGGACATGCACAGGCAGGGTTTCCAATACATGTTTGATGAATAAAGATATTAAGTCAGCATAGTTTCCCTCCCGCAGTTTCTGTTTTTATGGTTTCTTCTGCTCTTCCAGAATGAGCAATGTAGTGTCTTGATTATTCAGTGATTGCAGAGCCGCTGAGGGGTACTCCAGTTGAGCTAAATGATGCATTTAGTTATATAACACATAAAGCAGAAAGAATAGAAAGAAGGGGCGTTGGGAATGGAATGTGGGTGGAAATCTAAAGGACCACACTTTCTTCTCCTGCATCACTTACATCTTAAAATCTTATTATTACATCAGAGACTCATCTGTGACAGGAATTAGCTAAACTGAGAAGGGTTTCCTATTCTGGCTATTGGGAGAAATTGGAACAGGAAGGATTAGAGCTGATCCTTTTTACAGCCGAGTGACTCTTGTATATGATGTCAGATGTAAATAGTTCAGTTGTGGGGGAATTGTGAGCTAACGCTAAAGCAGTCCTAGTGAATCTGTGAAAGAAGGGGCCTGACTGTTTTCTGATGAAATTTCTTTTATGGATAACTAATCTTGAATTCCTTAAAAGTTTTAAGTAACAGAGAATATTCTTCTGAATTTTCTCCAATCACTTATTCACAGATCCCACAAAACTAGTTGGTAGAGTAGATTTGGTCCAGAGCCTGTGGTTTGTGAAGTCCTGTTCTAGGGCTAAAAACAAAATAAATAAACTTGCTTGCAATAGAATGTCTGTTATCCTAAGTCTCTTTGGCAATATAAAGCCATCAAGTTGTTTTGGTAACTATCAGTGGCCTCAGATTAGAGGGAGAAGGGCTATGTGCTCAATAATTCAGTTCTTCTACAACCTTCTTATCCAGTAATATTCAATATGCTAGAAAGAAAACAAGGCAGTCTGTGGAGTTCATGCATCCTGATTCTGTATGCTTGGGCACCTGCAAGCCTCTCCCCAGGCGCACCAGCAAGAACTTTGTGTGAAAGATTTAGTCTTCCTGTGTAAAGAATCTTCAACGTTGTGGTGGCCTCTTCACCTTTCATGGTCTCTCCCAATACTTGTTTAGTTCTGTGTCGCAATCTCTTTAGTTTTCTCTCTTGACAGGTTCTACTATAAAGGAGGAGAATTGACTTTTCATCTCAGACACTTTCAGTTCTCAAAATTATCTAATTTCACATTGAGTGATCAAGGCAGCCTCTTGCTATTCCTTTCTGACCCTGAGTGTGAATATATATACCAAATAATTTTGGTTTCATGTTATCCCAGTAAGAAGTATCGTTCTATTAATCACTTGCTATAAGTTACTGATTGTCTTGGAGGATTAGAGATTTTAATGCCTCCTGTCCGATCAAATTTAATGATTGCAGATCCCTGAGCGTTCTTCCACAGATTTCCCAAATGCAATGGTTTTCCTCATGTCATAGGACACTTTACTTTTGGTTAGTTTTTTCACCAAATGTCCCCTGTATTTTAATGTGAATATGATGGTAACGCAGCCTGATGTACTGGATCTTGAGAAATAGAAATTTCATCTGTGCATAACACAGCAGGGGGGATAAATTGTAGAGGAGGGGAATTTTAACAGAATGATTTGTAACACATCAGAAAAAAAGGAACACTCAGCTATTCCATCTCAATATAGTTTTGTGATTGTCAGTTAGATTTGCTGTTTTATAAAAAGAAAAATTAGCAATTATTAGATCATTTGCTCTTGACAAAGCTATAGTTAAACTCCCTCCCTGTATCTTAACTCAGTAAATATAGTTTCCAGTGGGATGTGAGTATCAGTCCCTTGGGAAATTTTTTAAAATATAATGATTCCTTCTCGTTTTGGTATAGCAAATACCTTCAAATCAGAACCAATCAGTAGCACACCTGTAGTTGAACAAGTTGAATGATCACTGCTTTCAGCCAAGGAGAATAAATAGACCATGGAGAATCACAGTGTTGCTAGGAAGAGGGACTTTGATAGAATCTATTTGGATTTCGGTTGGGTGATTTGGGGGAGAGTTCAGAGAAGCATCCATCCTAGATTGGATGCTGTCAGGAAGCAGAGGTAATGCTATTATAAGATGCCGCCATCAATCTGATCAACAAAAGACTAATATGAAGATCAATCTATAAATGGTAAAGATGTACCTACCAGATACTCATTTTATCTGAGAGAGGAGGTGTCCGAGACTTTCTGGAAACATCATGACCTTGATTTTTGTCTGTGTTTACGCAGAATTTTGAAATGACCTTGTTTTATCTCATTTTATCTTGGTCTCAGAGTAATCTTGTCTGAGGTTGGCATTCTTTGAGATTCTTGAGGTCTAATAAACTATGATGAACTAGCAGTGAGTGTCAGGCTGGCTTCTGAATGTTAAGCACAGTATATTTTTCTTTCTTACAATGTATCCCTCTACCTGGCACAATTTTAGTGGATCCTACTTTTTAATAGTATATGTCCACTTTTTTATTAAACATATTTGAAGTATATGGAAAAATAAAATAAAAATAATATAGAAATTAAAGATACAAATATTTGAGCTTTTTTCTCAAAATGGAATTTGTTCTGGGAGGAAACTGCTATTGTGAATTTGATGTTTCTCTTTTCCAAATGCAATGTATGTTTCTTTTCTTTGGCTATATATTACATATATTATATATACATTATATATATATTATATTATATATATATTATATATATAACATTACACACATAATTTTTAAATACTATTTTATGGTTTCCTTCCATCTAAATAATTATAGCAGATCTAACTTTAATACATACTTTTGATCATTAATTATTGTAAGAGGGGAGGGAGACATCAGACTATTGGCAGAATCATAACACCCGCATGTCACACACGATCCCAGGACATCATGTTATCCACATGCGCTTAACATTCTAAATGAAATCTAATCACCACATCAAGCACATTGTACATTTGTTTTTCAGTGCCCTATAGTTTCTTTATCTCAGGGGCAATTTGGTGGCTTTAGTTGGGAAGATTTTGGGTGAATTTTCCTTTTCTTCTCAGACTCTGCTAACCATTTTTGACACTTACACATCTGCAACACAGGACATTCACATTTTCTGCAATAAAAGACCATTTTTATTTCATGAACCAAGAGTTAGGCTCCCATTTGCAACTACTGAAGAAAGCAAGGTTGTCAAAAGCAGTAGCTTGGTCTATCCAGAGAGAAGTCTGTTGCATGAAATACAAGGTGCCGTTAGCTCTGACTGCATGTCCACATGACATCGGCATCCATTCCGCCCGTCAGTGCTCCTCCTTAGAGGAACTCCTCTCCTCTTTGAGAGATGCCAGCCCAGGGCACGTGAGACACAGCAGGAGGGCATCCCAGAGACACACATCTTTCACAGCAAGGCAGAAGTGCACTGACGGACAGACAGACAATTGGAAAGACAGCTCAAGGTGTCTGTTGTTCATCTCCTTCTGCCCTCCCTGATGGGACCTCATGTCTTTTGCTTCACATGAAGTTTCCAGAGACATTTGCACTTCATTGTGAGTGCCATCTCTTGTCACCTGGGGTTACTTGTTATATTTCAACTAAAAACGTGGGAAATTGCTGTGATCTTCTGAAATCTTTTATGTATGTTCCTTTCAGTGACACAGACAGGAACTAATTACTGGGTGTCTTAGCCCATGTGGGCTGCTATGACAGAAAGATCATAAACATAGACAGGAGTGGCTTCTAAACAACAAACATTTATTTCTCACAGTTCTGAAAACTGGGAAGTCTGGGGTCATGGTAATTAGCAGGTCGAATATCTAGTTAGGGCTCTCTCTGGATTCACAGTAGCTCTCACTATCTACAACGCTGTCTCTTACTCTCTCTTGCTCTGTTTTTTTCTATTTACCACAGAAAACTATAGTAGTAGGGGTTTTGTCTTTCTCCATCTGACTCATTTGACCTTCCATGTTCATCCTGTTGTTGCAAATGGCAGGGTTTTACCTTTGCTGCCACTGAGGAATATTTCACTGTGTCCATATATCCCATCTATTCATCCATCTGTCTGTGGCTGGGCACTTAGGCAGTTTCCAGTCCTTGACTATTGTCAGCAACACCACAGTGAACCTGGGTAGAGTGCACATGTTTCTTCACATTAGGGGTTTATAATTTTTGGTTAAATATCCAGCGTTAGAACACCTGGGTCTATGTCTTATCATGACCTACCCACCTTCCAAAGGACCTAATCTCACCTTGGGGGATAGGATTTCAGTCTAAGAATTTGGGGGCAAGAAGGTGTAAAACACAAACCTTCAAATCATAGCATCAGGTTCAAATTAAGGCCATACTGTTTGGAATGTGTTGGGCACTGGTCAAGTTCACGGAGCTGATCGGAGAGGGTGATGGGATTGGTACTTCAGGATTTGAGGGAAATGTTTGAAGAGCCGAACTCCCACAGCCCTCTGTGTTCCTTGCTTACATGTGCCTTCTCCTTCCAGGGGAGCATTTAAGGATCTGTCCTCAAGAATATACGTGCTGTACCACGGAGATGGAAGACAAGCTAAGCCAGCAAAGCAAACTGGAGTTTGAAAACCTTGTGGAGGAGACGAGCCATTTTGTACGTACCACTTTCGTGTCCAGGCACAAGAAATTTGATGGTAGGTGAAAGTTTTTGCTTTGTTCCCAGTGTGGGGTGTTTCTCTGAGAACCTTGATATCCTGTGAAAAACATTTTTTTTAAGCTGGAGTTTTACTTTCCCTCTTAAACATGTATAACACTGTCTATTTTTAGAAACAGCATGAATGTTCATGACGATTTTTGTAGTAGTATCTTGGGGAAACTAGAGTTCACAGAGAGTGGTTTGGCACATGTGCTTTGCCTATGAGATTTATTCTGAAGGTTGTAGCTCAATTTTTCATTATTTGAGTGATTCTAGGTCAGTTTTTCTCACACAGTAGTTTGTCTTTAGTTGTTATCTAGAAATTGCTTTAAAATAATGAAATGTCATGTGAAATTATGTGAAATCTAACACCCCTTTTAAGAAGATGGGCTGGTTTTGTGTTCCAATGACATGTGCTCCTTTCCTTTATAGTCGTCTTTCAATAATATCGCCACACTTTTCATTATTGTTGCCACCATACACAAAGGCACTTCCCCTCCATCAATTTCTGAGTATGACCATCAGCTTCATTTCTCTGTTCCATTTGTTAGATCAACATTTTGTATTAGATAGCACAGAATGCAGAGGTAATTATTACTAAGATTTTAAAAAAAACGCACAGAATGCAGAAGTAATTATTACTAAGATTTTAAACATTGAATTTTCTCATCAGAGCCCTCTGGAAAGCAATTCCAGAGGGCTCTGATTTTTATGCCCTGAATTATAATGACACCGTTCCTAATCTCAGGTGTGGCACTTTCTAGGTGCTCTAGGAAATGAACGGTCCCTTACATGGACTCCTTGTAAATCAGACCTGCAAACAAAACTTTCTTGTGTCCCTTTGGTCCTGACTCGTTGCCAAGGGCAACAGAATAGCTTTTCAATTTCCTCAGGCTGTCCAGTCAATGTAGCTCAGTGCTGGTTAAAAAGACTTGCCAAAGTTTTCCTTTATTTCCTAGTAGGTAAAATTTTCTGCCTCATTGCTACCTTAAGCTTTGATAGCAGCACCAATTGCTTTTAAATCAGTCCTCCAAATTCTTAAAGGCAGGTCCGCCCAGTGGGGCTTTCAGGACTCAAGGTGATGTGACATTTTCTGTGTAAGCGGATGGAGCATCAACTTTAACATCTTCACATTCTCCTGCTGCCTCCTGCTCTGTGTATACTGTTATATGTCGATGGGTATGAAAATAATCGGTTATTTATCATTGATTCTGTGAATGTTGTTCCTCTGAATGCAACTAGGGAGTACTGGGGAGTTGCTTTTGATGGACAGATTACAAATCCAGTGACATTCAGGAGTCCCGGAAGGAGCTTGGGGTTTGAGGAGCTATAATATATCACTCCAAATTGAGGTGAAAGGAGACACCTAGTTGTTTGTTACAGGCAGCAGGTGAGAGTCATTTGCTTCTGCTGACTTTTACCTGTGTGTCAAAGTCCACACAAAATTAGGTTGAAATAATTCCAAAGCAGTATCAAGCTCCACACAAAATTAGGTTGAAATAATTCCAAAGCAGTATTTATGATTTATGGTTTAGGAATTTATGATATATATTTATGATATATACTATATCTATCATAAGATATATATCATAATATATGATAGATATAATATATATCATAAATATATATAAAACATCTCTATATTTATTATATATATTATTAAAAATATATTAAATCTATAATATATGATATATATAGTATATATCATAAATATATATATATATGAAACATCTCTAGTATTTATTATATACATTATTAAAAATACTAGAAGTAATGAATCTTTGTGGGGAGTTGATTTATTTTTTTACATGAGTAAAGCTATTCAAGAAGACTGAGCCAGGTATTTCTTGTGTTCTCATATCAATGACTTTTAATATTTTGGGATTTACAATTCATAATCCCAGCTCTCATTTGTCTTTCTCAAGAAGCATTCTGTAGTTCCTCTCTTTCCTCCTCCTCTCCTTCTCTTCTATAGGTATGGCTTAAATCCTTCTAATGTACTTAGGGGCATTATGTCAGTAGGGTTGACAGGACATTGAGTTTGCTAATATTATATCTGACATAGGGGAGATGAGTTCTTTAGTCATATTGCCTTTCATTGCAGGTGCATTAGGCTGGGATAGGAGAGAAATTCAGAATTTTTCAAGTATGTTTTCAGCCACGATTATTTTGTCTTTAATGTAAATATGATTTAGTGAGCTCAGTTTCTGAAGATGTCAATCTTCAGAAAATAATTATAAAAACATAGTTATAAGATAATCATTATATGTACTTTCTTTTGGCAAATTCATGAAGGTCCGCCATACAGCTGTGCGACTTATCTCCTTATACCTCCAGGCCGAAGCTGTTAAGTCACCTTTCTGGAACACTGGTGCATTCATGCAGGTTCCTTTGCAGGTTCCTTGTGACATTTATTTGTGAGTATCAGTTGGCAAGAGTATACAGGGTGATCTACAGTCAATGGTGGAAAGTTAGCCCCTGAGTTTCATATTCTCAGCTAGAACCATTGGTATTGCCAAGGAAAGTTTGTTATGGTCATGCCCTCTTCTCTGGATTATTTTGTGTGGCTGATCCTACATGCCCACCTTGCATGTTTCTTCCTCTGCTTGGATGTTCGCAGAGACCCTGATCTGTCCTCTGGACATTGCGTGTCTTCGTGGCCTGTGTGATTTTTTTCTTCTGTGCTTCAAAGCTGTATTATGCGAGACGGTGAGCTCTGGACTCCTATTTTCATTAAGAGAAGAAACAGTTTAAAGTGTACCTGATAGACTCATGGAGGCTAGATGCAGTCACTTAGTAATTAGGCTATGCCTGTTTCTTTATTAGACTAACAATGTTTGCAGTCTGTTTAGCTTTTCATTTTGTGACGGATGTGTCTTTAAAAAATTGAAATTCCAAAATAGTTAACTTGACATTACATTCTATCTATTGTCACATCCTTAGTTTTGATTAATGTCTTTGGTAATATTTAGAACACTGTATATAATTATAACTCTTCATTGGTTGAAGAACGAAAACTGAATTAATATGAGTTCTTGCCTAAATCAGGACACTTTAGTCTATATCCCCCTTAACAACCTAGAGGTTGTGGCTGGAGGCAGTGAATTGATAATGTAGTCAGTGTGGAAATTTTCATTCCTTGGCCTGTTATTGTTTTGTATCTGATTAGCTTCTTTCTTTTGTAATAAAGAAATGGAATGTATCAGTGTATGTAAAATAAGTATCTGTGTTATCACCACTGCTACTTCTCCAAGTGTCACACAAAATTTTTCTTGAATTTTCTTTCTGGCCAAGTCTCCCTCACACATCCCTGCAAGCCCCTCACCCTTAGGGCAGAGGTCTGGCCATTGCAGAGCTTCCCAGAGAGCTCTCCAGAGATGTTCTTGATTTGCTCTATAGCCAAGCATAGTTCCTGTCACTTCCGATACTTACAATAGGCATGGAGACCCGTCCATTCTGGAATGATCAAAACATCTCTCCCTTTTGTGCCTCCTCCACCCTCCTACTGGCCCAAACCCCTCCTTAGAGAGCCGGAAGTACATAAATAAGCCATTAAGATCAGAATGCAGAAAAAGGCCAGTCATCTTTGTCCACCAACTTTTTTTTTTTTTTTTTTTAATTTATGCATACAAGAACTGGGTTACAGGCCAGAGGTGGGAGGATGGTGGTGGTGGTGAGAGGATTCACCAGAGACAGAGCTGGGAGCACAACAGGCAGATTAGCAAAGTACACTGCTGAGGGGAGCAGATACAGGAGAGGCCTTCTGCTTAGTGTGGGTCACCTCCCTGCCGGGGGATGGAACTTGCACCAAAGCTCCGGCGGCTAGCTTCTTAATGCTGCGGGTCAACCATTTGGGTCTCCAAGGAGGGTCTGCCCACCAACTGCTTTCCCTAGCATTTGTATTAGGTGAGTGTCCAGTGAATAGGCTGGCATTAGCAACTGAATCCCTGCTGCTGTCGCCCTTCCTCCTGACTAGTGTGTCAGGGTTCAGTCGCTGAAGACAACGGGGCACCCCGGGAGGGACGTGCGGGCAGGTGGCACTCTGCCTGGTGTGAGCACTGGACGAGCTAAGCCTGCTCAGCAGACGTGGCGTGCAGGGCAGTGTCGCCGGTCTGGTCACCGGCAGCAGAGGCAGTCTCAGTCTGAGCCTCTGGGATCCTCCCGCCACCACCAGCTTTTAATCTGCCCAGTTCTTTCCAGCCAACAAATAGGCTGAGACTTCACCAGCCAGCGACGCCATGTATTCCTGCATCTCCTGCTGCGGTAGCGCCCCAGTTATCCTGGGAAGAAAGAAGGTAGAATTGTCTTTTAGACCAAAATGGCAAGTAGGAGCCTTTCTCTTTTTTTAAATCCTTAAAAAATGAAGAAAGGATTTAACCAAGTAAATATAGCCCTGCCCCTGAGTTGTCTGAAGCCAAGTTTCCACCACGACTGTAATCTCATCCTCTCGATTTAGAAGTATAGTCATGGGATAGGAAGCTGCTACATGGTTGACATTCTCAACTCCAATTTGGTCTGAGTGGACATGGGCTAGAGATTATTGGCATTGTTTTAGCAAGACTGTAGTGATAGTGGCCGGTGAAGACTCTAGTCACTTTTTTTTTTCTTTTTTAAGAGAGAGTATTTTGGGGGCGGTTGTCCCTAAATTAACAAAGGATGAGAATTTTGTACAAAAATGTTACTGAATCACAACTCCCCCCCCCACTCTTCTCTCCATGGAGACACCAGCTCCCCATTCTCTAGGATCATGCATGGATATGGATTATCCAGACACAAGAAAGTGAGGTTGAAGGAATATTTTATTTTAGTTATTTTTTTTCCTTCCAATTTATTTGAGTTGAAATTTATTCACATTTGAAGCTCAATATGAGGTTTTCTTGTTTAGTGTGTTCTTCTTGGTCTTATTATTTTACTTTCCTTCCTGGCTTTTATTTATGTATTTTAATGATATACATTTGTCCAGAGATTTTGGCAGCAAGTACATTTTTAAAAGCAAAA